CGTGGTCACCCACCCACCAGCACCGTGCCCATTGCCGGAGCATTTAGCTCCTTGGTGCTGGACCATCGCGCAGACCAAGCGAGTGCAAGACTAAGGTCCCTTTCCGGGCGTGCGGAGGAGCTGGCCCTGCTCCTAGTTGCTCCAGCCACATCCCTGAGCCAGCAGCATGAGCTGGACAGACTCCACCTTGGAGGCCGCGCTTGGGAAGGCCGCGTGCTGCCCCACGTTGACTTGGGGTTTATTTTGGAACCTGCCCGACCGGTTCCCTGGGGCTCTCGCCCCGGCTGCTCCCGCAGGGCCGTGCCGGGCGCGCGCAGCGCCCTTATCTCTTGGCACGGAGCGGGCGCCGCGAGGGCTGTTCCCCGCTCTAGCCGAAGGGCCCACACGGGGTTTCTGCTCTCCTGCAGCTGCACCCGCTCCACGAGGGACCCGCGGCTCATCCAGGCCGTGCAAGGGGCTCCGCAGCCCTGCGGGAATCGCGCTTCCCCTCCGGTGCCCGGCTCGCTCGGAGCCGCGGGATCGCTCGCGCACCCTCCGCGGAGCAGAGGGATCTTGTTGCATGCAGCGGGGAAGCAGTTTGAGAGGGATCCAGGGAGCAGCTCTGCAAGAGGCTGCGGCACCACGCACCCGGTGCCTTTACTATTATTTGAGCCGCAGTTAAAGGGACTCGGCTTAAACTCGGTGCCGCTTGAGCTGTGTCACTTGAGGACCCCGAGAGCCGCTCGTGCTGGAGCGGGTGGCGAGCGGGACAGGGGGGCTGCTGCTTGTGATTCCTTCCTCTCTTCCAAGGCAGCCCCTTCTGTCTCAACGCAGGTGATTCCTGCTCTGCGTGCTCGGTTTCTCCTGCTCTCCGGGCGGGAATCTCTCAGCAACGCGGCAGAGAAGAAAGGGCATGAGATTGTGACCGCTCGACCGGGAGCGGGAGCACTGAGCTGCTTGTCCCTTGCAAGGCTGGTGCTGGAGCCCGATTCCAACCTGGTGCAGATGAGGAAGGCAGTGGAGAATTGGGGATTTTTGAGAAGTTTCCTGAGATTGGAATGGAGAATTGGGGATTTCTGAGAAGTCTCCTGGTATCACGGGAAGCAGCTTCCCACGGAATGGCCACCCGTGCAGCTTGGGTCTGAAGCTTCGTGTCGCATCGGAGGAATATTACTGTTTAAAAACACCAGCAGAAGATCAGCAGTGCCCGCTCTGCAGCTCGGCGTCTCTCGGGACACACAGTTGTATTTCTGTTGTCCTGGTGGCCGGCGGGGAGGGAAACGCTCCTGCAGCCGTGCCGAGAGCGGGACAGGACCCGGGAGGGCTCCTTGGAGCCGGGATGCTCTTTGGAGGTGCCCCCGCACGTGCTCTGTGTGTTCGTGACATGCAGAGCTCTGCGGGAGCTTGGAGCGCGTGAGTGTCACCCTGCTTTGTCACCACAGGGTTTTGCGGCCCGCGGTACCGCACGGCTACGTGTGTGGGTCGGGGACGGGTGTTTCTGCATCGGGCGCCTCTGGGTTTGTGCTGGGCGCTCCAGCCTGCGCTAGGGCTGTCAGCTGAGCACAGCAGGCGGTTTTCCAAGGATGTTTTTAATCCTTGGGGATCCCAGGGTGACAGCGCTGGCATGTTGCCCTCACCTGCTTTGCCCGCTGCTCACGCAGGCAGGGAAGGCTTCACTCCTCTCTCTGCTCCTTTGCAGAGCCCTGTTCGACTATGACAGGACCCGGGACAGTTGCTTGCCCAGCCAGGGGCTCAGCTTCTCCTATGGGGACATCCTCCACGTCATCAACGCCTCCGATGACGAGTGGTGGCAGGCGAGGCTGGTGACGCCGCACGGCGAGAGCGAGCAGATCGGGGTCATCCCCAGCAAGAAGAGGTGAGCGCCCGTGGGCAGGAGCCACCACGCAGGGCCCTGGCCCTGCTCGTGGTGGCCCGGGGGCCCTCGGTGCTGCCCGAGGTGGTGCCACATGGCAGGAGTGTCCCTGTGGTTTCAGTGCGCAGAGCCCATCTGTGCCGCTGCCGCGGTGCTAAGGGCACCGGGGTTGCGCGC